GAAATTTGATTTTTGTTTTCTTAAAGTAAAGATGCTATAAGAAGATGTTCAAAAAGTAGTACGTTATTAAATGAAACTTTCCGGATGACAACTACAAATAAATATTTATTAGAGAAATGTATAAGAGATCCATAAAATACAAAGAAAATACATGCGGTGTTTTATTATGTCTTTTTTTGTGGATGTGAATTATAGTAAGAGTGAGTCTATCCTAATGTAACGCCCGCATATTAGGGGTAGTCAATTTAGAGATAATAATCGTTAAAAATGACTTTTTTTTATAGAAGATTATTTAGGATAAATAATCTACCCAAAGGTATAGTATATGTCATAAGGATTACGTAAATATAAAGAACATTGAAATTCGATTTATAATAAAGATGGTGTGACCCGTTGCAGTTTCGTGATTTAAACCGACACGACTCTATGTAACGTAAAAAGTAAATTTTTGATAAAATACTTTTTAGCCTTAGTGATATAAATGAGAGTCGTAGTATTCGTTAAACCGAGAGTATGCATATAGAGAACGTTCAAAACTGACTTCAATAGAGTAAATTGTGATTTTTCGAAGTTTCAGCATAATAGTATACAGCTCAGAAATTGAATTTTAGATATCGATCAATTTTTAGCCGAAACATTCTAAACAGGTATTGAAGATCTCGTTAATAGGAGCTCAACAATATAAAGACAATCGAAATGAACGTCGGATGACAAAGTTATGAATTTCTAACGGACTTTAACTGTCTAAGCCTATTAAAATATAACTTTTAAAATAAATTCAAAAATTAGCCGATGGAGTCTAAACAAAAGTTATATATCTCGTCGATAGATACGCGTGGATATAAAGAACGTAAAAAACGGAGCACGTATGCCGCAGATTCGAGCTAGTCAATTTAAAGGTAATAAGCGTTAAAAATGACTTTTTTATAGAAGATTATTTAGGATAAATAATCTTAACCAAAGTTATAGTATATGTCATAAGGATTACTTACATATAAAAAACGTTGAAATTCGACTTATAACGAAGAAGTTGTGACTCGTTGAAGTTTCACGATTTAAACCGGCACGACTCTATGTAACGTAAAAAGTAAGTTTTTTATAAAATACTTTTTAGTCTTAGTGATCTAAATGAGAGTCGTAGTATTCGTTAAACCGAGAGTGTGCATATAGAGAACGTTCAAATCTAACTTCAGTATAGAAAGTTGTGATTTTTCGAAGTTTCAGCATAGTCGTATGTAGCTCAAAAATTGAATTTTAGATCGATCGATTTTTATCCGAAACAATCTTAACGGGAATTGAAGATCTCGTTAATAGGAGCTCAACAATATAAAGAAAATCGAAAACGGACGTCGGATGACAAAATTATAATTTTTTAATGGACTTTAACTGTCTAAGCCTATTAAAATATAAATTTTAAAAGTGAATTCAAAAATTAGCCGACGGAGTCTAAACGAAAGTTGTATATCTCATCGATAGCTACGCGTGGATATAAAGAACTTAAAAAACGGAGCACGTATGCGAAAGTTATGAATTTTACAAGATAATTAATTTCGGATAACATGAGGGCGACATGTGTCGCGATCTGGGACACTCCTTCCTCCCCAAGACTTGCGACCAGATGACAACACCTAGCCACATTACGCCCAACGTAACTAAGTGTACGCCCAGCATACTGGGCTCATTGCAACCAATAAATAAAACTCGAATTTCACTCTTTTCCTCACACCTTTCCATTCCATTCTCTCCCAAACCCCCAAGGTCCCAAGACCTTTCTCTAGCACTTCCTAACTGTTAGTAGCGAAGCTCCGGAGCGCCAGAAAGCCCCGAGAAATAGAGCTTTCGGTTTAGAAGTTTTGCCCGCGTTGAGTCTGGTTTTCTCGCTAAACCACTTGTAAGTTGAGTTATGTTTACCGTGCTTTAAGTATAACTTATGTTTAAGTTCATTATCGTTATTATGAACCTATAAACAAGATTTATCAGTGATTCTAAGTCATTATACTGATTGATCTACTTACGGGGGATGATGACAAGGATAGATTTAATGAGGTATTTAAAGTAGGCTTTCCAAACAGTATACTATGCATGCCAAACAGACCCTACCTCCAATATGATCTTATATGGTTGTTTCGTATTAGCTATAGATTAGTAGACTTTGAATTAATGATGGATCTAGATTAATAATTAGTTGCAATTAAATATTAGACCGAGACTTAGTGATAATGATACTAGGTTACGTCAAAGGAAAAGACAGTTGCTAGGAGCGAAGCGCTGTCCGAGTTTCGAGTCATCACTTTCACAAGTGAGTGCATAGTCCCTTTGATGAACATTATTTTAATACAATTATTAATTAAAGTATTAAATATATGTTAAAGAGTTTATGTGTGAGATATTTTCTATTGCCTGGAATACGTGTTAAGAACATATCTGATATTATATGATGATTTAGGACTTACAGAATAGACCTAAATTAATTAAGATGAATATCGGGTATTATCTCCTTAAGAGTACGGGTGAGATATACATGGAGGGTAGAACTCTAACATTTGTCTTTGATCCGAGAGCATGGATTAGACATAGTCATTCATCCCTAGTCCGAAAGTATGAGTTGGGCATAGTCATTTGTCAATAATCTGAAAGCGTGGATTAGACATAGTCATTCGTCCCTAGTCCGAGAGTATAGAGTGGACATAGTCATTTATCATTGATCCAAGAGCATGGATTAGACATAGTCATTCATACTTGATCCAGGAGTATGGATTAGGTAAAGCCAATCACTTTAGATCCAAAAGTATGGATCATGTCGTTGTGAGGATCGACAGGGTGGGGTAAATTGCTTATATGTGGTGAAATTGTATCTTGCGAGTTCTAATATATATATATATATATATATATATATATATATATATATATATATATATATATATATATATATATATATTATATTATAACATTGGTGAGATTGAAATCCCTATGTACTCACCAGGTTTCTCAATCTGACACACGCAGTTTATTGTATCACAGGTAACGATATAAAAGATACATTATGCTGAGAGATTCAAGGAATATTAGGTCACTAGTTTAATTATTGTAAGACTTGTAATATATCGTTATGCTTATGTTTATGTATTGACGATGACATCCTAATGTTTTAATATAAATAAAATACATTTTTTCGGAAATGCTTTGATAATATCATTATCATGTTTTTGGGAACAAATTCCACAATATTATTCCTCAAAGAGGATACTCTGATTTTAAATAAGCATAAACAAATCGGTCTTTTTTGGCCGTAAAATTGGGGATGTCACACCTACAAAGCGGTTTCTCGCTTATCCCCATTTAGGAATGAGGAGATCCAACGTCAAGTACAGGAATTGATGTCAAAGGGACGGCAAAGTCTCAATCTGTATTCAACATATGCTTGACTAGCTTAAAAGGAGACTTGGAGTGTGTAGATGGGCTTTGAAGCAGGGCCAAAGACCTTTCAATTCGGAGAAGGGATGGAAAGACTCGTGAGAAGAGATGATAGGCTTGATACGGATACAATTGTTTATCACCCTAGAATCAACCTATTCGACTACACATCTATACTCGCCTGGACAAACATGTCGGGTTCCAGCTCCGCACACCTGACACCTTTCGAAGCACTTTCTAGTGTGCACTTTAGTTTTCGAATGTCTCGTTCAACGTCACGAGTCTACAAGCTTTTCTCATTTAAGTGCTCACCCTTTGAATCTTCAGTATGGGACTTTACTCTTTTGATTAGAGGAGGGCTAGCGAGAGAACAAAGCGTACCGCCCTACCATAGTTTTTGTTTATAGTCGTAACTATTGTCTTAGTCAAAAAGGTTGAACTTCCAGGAAAAAACTTCGAATTGGGAGGACATATTTATCCAACGTTTTGATGTTGGCTATAATATTTTGGTTTTGGGAGATGTGTGTTCTTTATATTTAAAATGTTATTTTAGATAAATATTTATTACAATTTTATAGTATTTCAGGGTGTTACATAAGGCGTCCACACAATTTTGCTCCAACATCGTATATACACGTGCGATACATAACGCTTTCCAAATTTTGTCCACACCTCTTCATGCAAAATTTGAGCATTTCTTAAATACAAAAAGTTATCCCAACTATGTGTAACACATAATGAACCATTTAATATGGTAGGACAACAATCGGTGAGTGAAATTATATAAAGAATGTCTCATGATTAAAACTCGGTCATGCTCTATTGACCGTAGGTTTTTCATAATTTACATTTCACGTGATGGACTTGACTTTGAAACAGATGGTGTGTAAGACCATTAAGGTTATTAAGGGTACAGTTTTACCCTAGTTCATAATGAACCATCTCTATTCCATAAAACACAAGATTAATGGCTTCCCACCCTAAGTAATACTAATGATATCTTTACAGTTTACAAGCCATTAGTAAACCTCTTATAAACCCCGTTAAAGCTTTTACCGTGATAAATACAGCCAAAAAGTACAAAATTAATTTTTTTTCTATTCTTTCAAATTTCAAGTTATTGATCTTTAGGCGTCGCAATTTGATGGATCCAAATTGCTATTCAACTCATCGCAACAAAATAAATAAAAAAAGGTTAAATGGGGAATTTGGTAAGGGTTTTCTTTGTGTATAACACGACACTTAACGTTGAAAATTTTCGAGTTTTATATGTACACATATATATAAATAGCAAAAACTTGCAAAAACATCAGTTGATCATAGTTTAGTGACATATTTGGATACTTTTCTCCAGTTAGCAACTCAATAATATTTGCAATAGCTAAAGTTGTTGAGTCTTTTATTACTATACTTACTTTTTTCTAAAATAAATGCAATTAATTTATCTTTGTCACAGGTTATGCTACATAATATAGTTTAATCATGATAATTTGTTGTCGTACTAACAAAGACCATAAGAACACTACTAAATTATCTCAGATAAGTGAAAGAAATTATAATCATAAAAATAGTAGTAAAGAAATGTTGTCCTGTCACATCGAGGTACATAAGCCTATGTTTAATGTTTTTACCAAAAACACACGTAAACATATATAGTACATACACATAACAACCAAAACAACCAAAAGTTGCCAATGCAGGATTTATTGTTACCTAGTTGGTTAAAAGATGTAATATGACATACATATATATATCATTGGTTATCTACCAAAAAGAAGTGATAAAATAATACAATACTCATGTCACCTTTGATGTGTATATCATTTTGTTCTTTTTTCCCGTTCTCCCCCATCAGTTTACATCAAGAAAATAGGATTCGACTTGTAAACAAAAGGAAAACGAATTGGATCTTACAATCTTTTCTAGAAACCCCCGAATCCAGTTCTCTTTTAAAACACGTGTTATTTTTTAATAGAAAGTATTTATACCTGAATAATCATGCGTGTAGATCCTTGTCTGAGTTCCACACTGGTGGTTTTGGAGGACTTCCCTCATTTGTCACACTGCCTCCATTTTCCACACTTATTAAAGGATCATTTTCACCTTCGTTTTTCTTTTTTTTTAAAAAAAAATAAAAAATATATATATTTAGTTCATGATTTGATTATATTTGTAGTCAATGTGTGTTGTAAAGTCAAAAATGTACCTCAGAAAACTGTGTTGATGGTTCAATGGGTTTTGGCTGTGTATCACGAGTACAGAAGTAAGAATAAAGCACCATACCCACAACAGCAATTAGGATTCCCAAAATGTTTCTCCAACTAAAAGGATCGTGTAATAGAAAATATCCAAATGCCAAAACTAGACATGTTTTCAGGTGACCTAACACCTGATAAGTCACGGGAGATGTTTTTCCGATCACCAGAAAAGTACTGAAGTTGACAGACACCGATATTAGGCAGGACAGAATAATGAATGCCTGAAATTTACAAAAAAAAAAAAAAAAAAAAAAAATAGAATTAATGATTCCAGTTTATGTGATATGAAAAACTGAAACTGGCTTATAACATTATACAGAAAGACTATTTTAACCTTACCAGAACTTGATTTGTGTATTTGAAAGCGAAAACGTTTTGATTGGTCAAAAGGGCGTCTAGAAATGGACCGATGATGAACAGGATAAGAGCTTGGTAGGGGCAAGATTGGTATAGGAGTTGTGTTGAAGAGACCTTGAACTTTTTCTGGATTGTATTTGTCATCTGAGATAAAAATGATTAAGGATCGAATGTATTATGTGATAATTTATTTGTGAGTAATATGAATAGAATGTTGTTTTAAGGATACAATTTGAGCCACACAAGTTGTTATTATGGCAAGTAGGGATAATATGCTGCCCAGGAGATTGAGTTGTAGGTCAGTTACTGTTGCAATTCCAACTCCTAAGAGTAATATTGTAAGTGAAAACCTGACTTTTTTACTGCAGATGGAAGACAAGAAAATGATTCAACAGATTATTTCATGAAAATATCATGTAGCATCATAAGTAAATAATTTAACAAGTTAACCTGAATTGCTTGCTGAAGAAAAGAGTCTCCAAAAGTACAGTGCAGGGGATAATTGCTAGTTTTGTCATCTGTAATGAAACCATGAAAATTTGTCATCCATAATGCAATTGCAGCATTAAATGAAAAAGAGAAAAAAATAAAATACCTGGTAAAAACCAACAGAATTGAAACCCAGACTGAGGTTTAGAAGGCCAATGGAGATTCCATTCAATATACCAAATCCCATCACAGCTCTTGAATCAAAAGGCTTGTGCTCAAAAAATTTCAACCATAATGCCACATGGAGTGAACAAAATGTCACTAAAAGATGCCAGCTTGTCAAAGTTGTAGCTGAAGGCATAAGAATGGGAATGAAGTAAAATTATGGGCAGGATCAGGGTATTGAATGGCAAAAACAGCTGTAAATGGGTTCATAATTAGGTTTATTACAATAGTCACTATATTGGTGTTTCCTAGAGTTGATGGTTCTTGAGTTTGCAACACAATTTTGTTGTGACTATGATCTTAGGAGAATCTTCATTGTAATTTTGTATGTGATCTTGTGTGCAATTTAGTGGTTTGTTCATGAATTGTCCTTTTAATCATTGGATTCAATTCCAATCCTTTGAACTGTCTAAAGGAAAATTGAAGTCTTAAGCCAAATTAAGAAAGGATACCATGATTTATTGACAATCATGTATCAAAACAAGTAAATCAAGCAATGAAGCATCATCAACAATCCAAGGCCTTACCAGTTAACTCTCAAGCATAAAGTTATAAGGATATATGTCCTTTCTGTGTCAATGGTGAATGTGAGTATCAAGCTCCAAATGGAGTTAATTGTCAACAATGTACAATTATCATATATCAAGCAATATGAACTTGATTCACTAGTTAATCAAGAAAATAAACATAAATTTAAGCGACAATTACTCAATCTCACTGGCCTAGAAGAACAAATTCTAAGGATTATGAGCTTGGTTTCTTAATGGCAATTTACAGAACATTCAGCACAATAGGTGCTGATTCATCGACCAGGATCATTAAAAGATTCAAAACTACAAATTTAGTGTGAAGGCTTGATTGCTTACCAAAAGTGAAACCAAGAGTGCTTATCAGTGCCTTGTTGCAAATCACAATCGAAACCGAGGAAATCACAGATAAACTCAACGCTCCAACTGTTCCCAGCTGAAATCGCTGTCCTTCGCCCATCTTCCTCTCTCACTTACGTGTCACTTCTAACTTCGATTTCGATCTCAAAATCTACCAAAAACATAAAACCAAAATCAAACTTAATCTTCATAAAATCAACCAATCAAAGCATCAGACATCAACTTCGTAAATCGTACCTCATTCCAGTAAATTCCGAACTGGCGCTAATTTCCAAACAGCAAACTTCAAACCTCCACAAAATTCACCATTTAAAACTCCAGATCTACTACTCTACAATTCAGTATTACATAAAAAAAAATCAAGAAATTTTACACGCAACTCCACAGAAAACTAAGTGTGAATGCAGACAGATAAAAAGTAACCTGAGATCACAACGAGGATATCTCCTTCCTCAAATTCTGTTGTAGATATAAGTATGCATATGCATATGATTGAACGATTATATAGTGCCTAGGGATGGGTGTGTGAAAGTTACGAAAGAGTACTGTAATCAGTGTGAATCCATGAACAGAGAAAGGGAAAAAATCTAATTATTTTGACTTGTTTTTGAATTTGGTTTTCCGGCAGCTTTGACGCCGGCAAGATAGATGGTTGATTGTGAAAATGGACGGTCGTGATTTTTCTTTATTCTAGTTCCTCTTCAGATCTAGTATAAAAACCCAACAATGGGCGTGTTTGACACGGAGCTTTTGGAAGCGTTTGGGAGCTTCTAGCTTTTAGCTTTTGACAAAACGCTCTAGTTTAAACAAAAAGCTTCGTTTGGCGGTACGAGCGTTTAGCTTTTAGTTTAAACAAAACGCTCCAAATCTAAAAGCTACTTCATATAGCGTTTAACAAAACGCTACTGAGCTTTTGAAATCAATTTCATAATTACCCTTAAAAATATATTTATATATTTATTTATTTTTAATCAATTGTCCTTTTATGTAATTTTATATATTTCAAAAACTACCAGCTACTTTTACTAAACACTCATATAACAAATAAAAGCTACAGCTTCCCGCTACCAGATACCCGTTACACGCTACCAGCTACCCGCTACCCGCTTCCAGCTAACATCTATTTTTGTCAAACACGCCCAATGTATAAAGGGCAAAATCTCACATCGTAAGTATAAAAATAACTCGATTGCCATACATAAAAAAGTAACTTTTTAACAATTAATCTATATATTTATTGTTTGGATTTTTATTTAAAGTATAAACCTTTTTATCATAAACATTGATTTTAGAAATAAGTTTATTAAAATAAAATTGACCTAAAACAAAATTATTATTAAAATTTGTTTATTTTTTTTCAAAACGTGATAAAATCTAATCTAATAAATGAAAGTTTTTTTTTGTCACATGTCATACTCTCATTTAATTTATCAAATGTCATTTTATGAATTAATTTTTTTTCACATGTTTTTTCATGAGTTTTTTTATTTTATTAAATCCAACATAATATTTTAATATAATAATTGCAATAAATATAGTAATAAATTGATATAATTTCATTAATGAACTTACTTTTTAATTTTAAAATTCTCAAATTAAAGCTCATTAGTTTCTTTTGTTTATTTATTTAAATTATTTGTTTAAATTTAAAAGATAAAAAAACATTTCAATTATAAAAATTCATTATTTTTCTTATTTTCTTTTTAACTCAAACTTCTTAAACATTTTAACTTTTATATTTAACTTTTTTTTAAAATTAACTTATGAGTCTCACAACTAGTATATATAACAGAAAAAACGACCAACAATAAGCAATTCCATCGATTCCATCAATGTCTTAGGAACCGGGGCTATTTATTATTTGTATAAAACTGAATTGTTTAATTGGACAGTTTGGATTTAACTATTTGGTTCGGATATTTGGATATTTTTTATGAGTTTTTAGCAAAACCGAATAATTATTTTGGATTTCGGATTGGTTACGGTTTAAAAAATTAAAACTGAATAGTCCAAAAAAACGAATAAGACTTTATTATTTATTTATTTATTTATATTTGTTTTCAATCTACATCTTTTAGTTATTTATTAGCTTACTAAATTGTATTTTTAAATATAGGGCAAAAAAATCACTATATTACCACAAAATTTCAAATTTGACACCGAGTATTGTTTTTTCGCAATTATGTCACTATAGTTACAATTTTATTGCAGTATCAACCAAATAACCGGTTCTATTTGTTCTTCCGATAACCATTTTTCCCGAATTGCAATAAAGTCACTATGTTTACCAAAATTATGATTTTGACATTGTGTTTTTTTCTCAATTATATCACTATATTTATAATTTTGTTGCAATATCAACCAAATGATTGTTACCATCAATTTAGAATGTTACCAAAATAAATGACATGGCAATATTGTGACGTGGAAGTCACATCACACCATCAATCTAGCATTGCGTGCACAAAAGAAAAGTCAGTTTAACCCATGGCCGCGACGCGACCCTCTATAGGGCGTGACGCGACAAGGCAAAAACATGCTTATAAAAGGTGGGTCACCTATCCTCATTTCTTTCCACCAATTCTTCCAATTCTCTCTCCCCCCTCACGAGATTTCGGTCAATCGTGATTCAAATTCTCGTTCTGTAATATAATTAGCGAAGCTCTGGAGATTTCGGAAGGATAATTAAGGAAAGGAATTAAACATCGAAGTTATGCTCGCGACTATGTGGACCTCGTCAAATTAAGTAAGTAACACTTACTCTTATCTAACCTACTTAGTTGTTTCAAAAATATTCTGGTGAATTAGTATATTTATGTAACTCTATTCCAACAGCTCTCACATTCTAACATACAATGGACATATATTGTCACAAATAGTATAGTGAGATAACTTACCTGAATATTTTTAAAACAATTAAGTAGGTTAGATAAGAGTAAGTGTAACTTACTCAATTTGATGAGGTCCGAATAGCCGCGAGTAGAACTTCAATGTTTACTTCCTTTCCTTAGTTATCCTTCTTAAACATCCAGAGCTTCGCTAACTACATTACAGAACGAGAAGTCGGATCACGAGGGATCGAAATCTCGAGAGTGAGAGTTAAAAGAATTGATGGAAAGAAATGAGAAGAGGTGACCCTCCTTTTATACGGAGGTTTTTGCCTCGCCGCGTCACGATCATTGGTCAGAATGACTTTTCTTTCGTGCACGCAAAGTTGGACGTGGAGTCAGTTGCATTTAATAAAATGTCGCGGCACATAGAGGTGTGATGTGGCTTCCACGTCACAATATTGTCATGTCATTTATTTGGTAACATGCTAGATTGACGGTAACCGGTCATTTGGTTGATATTACAACAAAATTGTAAATATAGGGACATAATTGAGAAAAAAAAACACAGTGTCAAAATCGTAATTTTGATAAACATAATGACTTTATTGCAATTCGAGAAAAGTGGTTAGCGGAAGAACAGATAGAACCGGTCATTTGGTTGATATTGCAACAAAATTATAAATATAGTGGCATAATTGCGGGAAAAAACTCGGTGTCAAATTCAAAATTTTATGGTAATATAATGACTTTTATGTAATTTGCCTTTTAAATATATAAGAATGTATTATCCAATAAAAATAACTTGATGTGTACTTCTCAAAAAAAATTATCTATAAAATTTTAAATTATAATATATATTTTGAATAATTGTTCAAAAATATATTTTCTTAAACGTCTCGTCTCTTAAAAACTAAACGGTAAAAACTGATCCAATTGAATTATAATTCGGTTGGTTTGAATCGGATTTAAATTTAGTTCGAAATATTCGGATTCACATTTTGAAAACCGAAATAAATTTGGGTTCATTTGATTGGTTCGGATCAAACCAATACATTCAAACGAACATTAGGAGTAACTCAAGAAATGAGGATAACATGTGAGACTGCTAGACTTTGAAATCACTCCTATCAATAAAGTAATCTCACAAAATTAAAGTAGTTTCACAAAACCATTTCATAAAACAGATTGTTATTTCGTGATATCTGTGAACCATTTTATGATTATTTCTTGAACCGTACTAATGAGAAAAACTGAAAAACATTCATATCTATTAAACAATGGCAATCATCAACAAGAACGAACGCACATATTTAAGACATACAAACGAACATATAAAAAATTGTTTACATGATTACACGAAAAAGAAAATACTCCAGTCATGCTAACGACCTCAACCAACCAAGAATCCCAAGGAGACCAGCATCTAATATTGGTGACTTCTTTTCAAGTCCTGCAGATACAAAACAAACACATTAACAACAACCTAAAACATTAAGCTGTAGGCTACCAATAACTTCTCTAATTTAATAATAATAATAATAATAATATATAAATAAATAAAAATATTCGCACTCACCAACATCTGCAGCTACTCGATGTGCACACATTACTCCCGAAAAGGCTACCGCTATAACACCTTGTCCTGGAAAGCAACTATCTCCCACACAATACAGACCATTTATAGCCTACGTGTACACACTCACACAATTCAATAATCAATAATCAAGACAACCATTAAACCATGAAAAACACGTATTTATTTAGTATTTACAATCCAAAATTGACAGTATGTAATGTATATGTTAAACGTGGAATTTCTAAATTAAACTTACGGTGGTATTAAAAGGCATTCCCAATAAGCCCTTGGGCACGCCACGTGGCATTGGCCCGTACGTGCCACTATCACGAGCAAGATACCGTCTGTGTGTCTTTGGTGTGCCCACCTGACAAAGTTTGTAACGGTTAAGGTCAAGGACATTTTAGTCATTTAACATTATTATATCAGGGAAGAGGGGAACAAGTGTAATGATTAATACCTCTTTAAATTCGATGGAGGATTTGAGGCCTGGAAATAGTTTCTTTTCGAGTCTGCTGATGATTTTGTCTGCAACAAGTTCCTTCTTTGCCTCGTAATCTTTTGTGGAAAGCCCCTATATGTTTTCCCAAAACAACATCAAATTTAAATGATAAATTGGGTAAAATTTTGAAATTATTTTAAACATTTCACTATCAACCGAAAACTTCTATAGTGATCCACAAGGTTCTGTCTATTTCTTTTTACTCAAGGATAACTAACTTACAACATTTAACTAACTATGGAAACCCTTCTAGGGTTAAGCTAAACCTAACTGTTCATTGGCCATTGTAATCATTCCCCATTATTACGCTATCAACTCTGATTTGCAAAACTCCTCCAATCTCATTACGCATTTTAAACATCATTTATCCAGAAAAAAAAGGGCCAAAGATTAATAATTACCTGCCAGTCCTCTATGGACGAAGTCGTAAATATGTGAAGAATATGACGCCCTTTTGGAGCCAACGATGAATCAAGTATAGTTGGAATGCTCAAAAATATACTCCCATAAGGCTCCTCTAAGTTTTTCCAATCATCCTAAACAATTTTTTTATAAAATCAAGATTTATTCTCTATGTGTAATGAGATCCAAGCGAAGACAAAAAATAAATAAATAAGTGAGTACCTCAAGAACAAAATGGTGGCAATCAGTGTCAGGTGGCAAAACCTCAGCTTTGACCCCCATGTGAATAGAAAGAAAAGAAGGCGCTTTTACATAAACTTTTTGGAAATTTTCTTCTTCTTTTGGTAGATCTTGCTTTTTCAAAAGCTTGCCTACAAAAAAAAAAAGATATAATTTAATCATCTAAATTGTTGCGTATAAAGATTATCATAGGGCTTATAAGTGAATACTAACCGAAAGTATCCCATCTAGTAGCATTTGAGATTATGGTTTTCGCAAAAAACTCTCTTCCATCCGACAGTTTAACTCCTACCTACAACAATTTAGAAACGACATCAAACATCATATTATATAAAATTCAACATTATTTTATTTGTATTCATCTCATGAAAGTTGCAACGTTGTATTTGACATGAAATGATTAGAATACCATTCAACAAACATAACACTACCAGTTTACTTGTAATGAAAAGTGAAAACGAAGGGAAAATATGTCATTTAAACATCAATAATCGAACAAAACTCACTGCTTTTCCATTGTCGATGATAATGCTTGTGACATTTGCTTTATAAAGTATTCCACTTCCATGATCAACTAAACCTTTTGTCAAGGATTTTGCAATCCCTCCAACCCCACCAACAGGGTAATTAATACCTCCAAAATGTCGGTCACATAACACCTAACCAAAACATAAGGTTAGAAACCCAAGGGTAAAAGTGGAATTTAAACAAATCAACAAAAAGAAGCTTGATGTTTAGTTACCATGCTTGCATTTATCATGGGTGTCTGTAAAGCATTAACAGTGCTCACAATAAAACACTGCATGAATCGAACAATCAGTATTTAGCAAAAAAGAGTAACAATCAGAATATTCTAGAACCTAGGAAACAGGAAACAGTATCAGTCCACCTCAGCATCTATGAATGCGAGAACTTCTGGATCTTTAATAAAGTTGCGAGCGATGCTTCCAGCATTTTGTGGCAAATAATAAGCTATAAAAGATACCAGAAAACATACAATTCACATTCAGAAACTTCTTAATCAAAAAATCATATTCATTACCGAAAAAGGGTATAAAAATGTAGGAAATAGTATAAGCAAATGGGGAAAACACACCTAGTGTCAAGCATTCCACGGGCTTTTTGAAAAACTGTCCAAATAAATATATAGGTTCCTCGAGGGATTTGAGTTCCAGTGAATTCAATGCGTTGAAAATCTGAAAAATACATATAAAAAAGTTTTTAGCCAAAGTTTAGGTTAAAATCCAGGGTGAAAAACGAACAAATTTATGTTGCAAACTTGAAATCACCTTAATCAAAAGTCAAAACCGACCTTCCAGCATTCGTTGTAGAATTTGTGAATCCCTTCCTTTTCGTGTGGAAATTTACTCGTAAGCTCAGAAATGAAATCATCGTATCCTCTATGTACTTGAACAGAAAGGCTATTTGGAAGATGAAAATGGACGGTGGTTGGATCGGGTATCACCTCCATTTTACACCCGACTGCCGCCAGTGCTTGAGTTATTAAGTTCAAATTTCCCTACAACAAAGCGAAAGGAATTCCTTTGGTAAATCACTTATAATGGCTGAATCAATTCCATCAACAATCGAAATTAAGTACCTTGTCGCTGAATCCGAACATCACAGATGATCCGACATCAAAAGTGTAACCATCCCTTTCATAGAACCCAGAGCTCCCACCAGGAATCACATATTTCTCCAGAACCAACACCTTGGCTCCCTTCACCGCCAATTGCGTTGCCGCCACCAATCCACCGATCCCTGAACCAATCACAATTGCGTCATAACCACCACCACCACCGCTATCCTTGCTCTTCCCCTCTGTCACATCGTCTTTCTCCATTACTTTACTAACATCCATCACCGATTTTGCCCTAACAGAGAACAAATTATTGTTTCTTTTCACTGATTTGAGGAAGCCCATCTCCTGATTAGAATAATTTCCGGTTTTCAAGGGTTTAGAACAAGAAACACTCTGCTTTGACCCTCTGGGCTCATAAAGGACACTGTAATTTAGGGCTTTTGCCTTCTTTGTGCACATGGATTCGTAAAGAAAGCCTGGATTCCCCAACTGGCTAGCCTTGAAATCAAGAAAAAACTGGGAATTTGGAAACCCTACAGTTCCGGCTTTGGAGTTACTGAAACTGCTCACCTGCATCTTTGAGAGCGAAAAGTGAGTTCTTTCGCAAACTTGGGAGGTGGGTTTGAAGAAGAAACTGAAAACTGAAAGTTTCGAGACAATTGGTTAGGTAGTTCAGGTGGGATGCTTATGAGGTGCGAGAAGAAGAAGGGGAGGTGGTGTTGGATGAGTGCCATGATGATGATTCCAACCAAATAGAAAATGATCCGGTTAGTAGATGAGACAAAAATTCACCCAAATTCGAATATTTATGTATTTATTTGTGGTGCCTCTCATATGGTATCTTGGATTCTTGGGGTGGTGTGGTTAATATCGAAATCTATACCGATATAAGCCTGCTCGCAACATTGGGCTTCTGATTTAAAAAGATACTTGGGTCGTAAACATGTGGGTTGGGTTCAATACATCGAATTAACAAACTTAACCAAAACTCCGGACATAATGTTGTGTTCCTTTCTAAGAGCATTGGGTATGGGCAACAACCATACCCACTCACAACGCAGCCACGTCACCATCTTCTCTCCACAACGAGATTAGGGGATGGTGTTCTTCATTTTATACCCCGTTAAGGTAAAGAGAACAGAGGAAGAAAGAAGAAGAAAAGCAGAGGAAGAAAGAAGAAGAAGACGTGTTGTTGTACGTTGTCGTTACCACGAGAAGCAACAAAACGAGCAAGAGAGGCGGTGTGCCTCGCGTTAAGACGGCGTTTTGGGCCTTCCACGTAGGCAATAACGGCGTGCAGGGTGCCCATACCGTCTGCTCTAAGAGAACCGAAAGAAAGTAGAAAATTTGAGAAAATGAAATAATAGAAAGGAAGATGAAAGAAGAGAGAGAAGAGAAAGGAGAATTATTGATAATTTCTTTTAACTTTCTTTTAAAAATTGAGGAACAAATATAAAGTTTTTCTCATTTATAAATTTTACCTTTTAAACCCAATATAAAAAATAGGGAAAATGTCACTAAAGCCCTATGAACTTTCATGTTTTGGTTTAAAATGTCATTCATTTTTATTTTTGGTATTATAAGGGCGTGAACTCAAAATGTTTTGCTTTATAGGGACATAAACCTTATAATTTTGATTTAAAACAACACTGACCGAAAATATGAAGGGGTAACCCCGTATCATTGCTTATGTCGCAATCTAGTTGGCACTTTGGTCCCAATAACATATCTAGTGAGCTTACATGACATGGATAATTCATATTAAATTTAATTTCTGTAAATTAAAAAAAACTCATTTCCCTTTCTCCAAACCACCAACGTAACATTCTTTTTCTCCTTTCTTCTTCTTTATTTCGGAAAACCCTAAGTGCTCCTTCCTTCTTGTCGCCGACGAAGACCTAATCGCCATGCCAGACACCTCCTTCTTTCCGGAGCCATCACAACTCTGAAAGTCTGAAACCACCAAAATCATAGTCGCAAAGCAAACATAGGTCTTGAAAGCAACATAAGGCGCACAATGGGAAGAGGAACTGATAATCGTTTGCCTTTCTCCCTTTCTTACTCCTGCGAGGTTCCTCTCAATACTGTCTTGATCCATCACATGGAACGAGCTAACCATTATCTTTCCACCAAAACTAAACAATGTCACAACACAACCCCTAACAACAACTCAAATTTTCTTCTTTAAAAACCCAAAAAAAAGAACAACAAATGAACACTTACCCAAATTTGTTTGTAACCCATCTCCAACCCACCACCTGTGGTTCTGCCGAAGCCGTCGTCACCACAACAAAATTTGACATCCATAAGAATAAGACAGCAGCGACGTCATTGCTATTCACCCTAGATTCACAACTAATCCAGTTCTGGTATAATTTATGAGCAAATAAGAAAAATTTTCATACTGTGAAGTTCAGGACAAGTTTGAGATGGTAACACCACCAACAATATTGTCTTGATCCATCACATGGAACGTCGATCCTTTTGGCAATTCCATTCCGATTTGGCCGGCCAAACCAGATTGCAACTATACCGTACCGCCATTCGATTTTGTAGATTCCTCAACATCACTTGATTTGTGCAAGAAATCGGCACCTTAATTATGTTAGTCGGCCCCATTCAAGGAAACCCACATAATCAAGAACCCTGGAACGATGGGTATGAGTTGAATTTGTAATTTAATTTCTTTTTTTACTAATAAAAAGTCATGTCATCAATTGGAAACCGTCTATTGCAAGTATGGTCCTTTTTTAATAGGTAATATGAACTTTATGCCTTTA